AAGCCAAAGAGAGCTTCAGTAAAAACTGACACAAAAACACTGCATCACCTAACAAGTTGCATTCACCTCCCCGACCCCAGAAAGTCACTACCCTGAAAGACTTCAGCTGTGCTCCCCAACTCAACAAAAAGCACATAAGTCACCCTTTGATAATCTGATTAAATTATAAGTGCATAAAGCTTGGAGATCTCTGTGTATATGAAAGAAAAAGTAGCTGAGGCAAGAGCGATGAGACGAGCCAGTAAGAGGAGGAGGGAGGACAAAAAAGAAAAGGCAACAGCAGAAACATAAAGGGCTTCATAGTCTCAGGAGTTAGGTCACTGATAAAATAAAATCAACCACAGCTTTACCTAGGAGCCAGAGGTACCTTTTTCATAAGCAAAGCAGGGATGGGATCCTTCGAGTGACACACCCACACGAGCTTTTCTAGGGCTTTTGGTCAGCCAAGGCAAGGCAGATAGCAGCAGGTGCCAGCCACTGAGAGCTCATGACAACAGCTCCTGCCTCCAGACAGGAGGGAAAGGACATGACCACAGCCCAGCCAAGCCAAGAGACCGACTACTTGGCCTTTGAGAGAAAAAACAAAACAAAACAAAACAAAACAAAACAAAACAAAAAAAATTCAAACTGACACACTGATTACTCCAGGTAGAAATTAAGAACTAAAATTTCTAAGGGAACAGGACATGGCTGTGCCTAGTAGAGGTTGCAGTGCTGGAGATCAAATTCAGGACCTTGTGCATATAACAGTGTGTTATATCCCAACACGTATGCATGGGGTGACATGGGTGAGCATGTGTTCTGCGATCTGGAGAGAGGGGGAGGGAAGGAGGGGGAGTGAGCTTTCATTTTGGACTGAGATTAGAAAGATTATAGCACACACAGGTGGGCTACACACCTACAGGCACCAAAGAGAAACAGAACCACCTGAGAAGCGGTGGCCCATCAACCTGTGCCCTGTGCAGGACCTGCATCATCTAACTCTGGCTCTGAGACCTCTTGTGGGCTATGCAGCCATCACGACAGTGTCAGTCTCAGAAGGGTTACAAAGGATGAAGGGAAATCTTCATCCTTTCTTGCATGTCTACTCCTTCTTGAACCAACAGGTTCTGGCCAGATGCCGGATGAGCCAGACAGGAAGACTTGGAAGGCGGATCATCTCTGGGGAGGAAGTCGGTCATGCATTCATTCCTACAGACGCTGTCAGTGAGGGAGACTCCCAACCACTATGGAAGAGGCCTGAGATGAGAACATTTGGGCCTGACAAAGGACAGGAGACGACTGCTCAAGCCTTTTGCATGCCGCTCTGCGGGACAAGGACCACAGGAGAGAAGACAGGCGTAAGAACGACAGAGTTGAACCAGACCACAGGATACCAGCGTCACAACCTCCAGGCAGGTGGACCAGCTAATGACCACCTGGCTCGCGGCTGGGGTAGGCAGGGACCTGAAAGGGGCTCACGGGCTTCCTAATGCTTCACGCGGCATGTGAAAGACACTTCTTGCTGGAGGGCCGTGTCTTGGTCTTTCTCTTAATGAGCACAGGACGGGAAGTGCTGACAAAGTCCGTGTTTACGGAGCTGAAGCTGACAATCTGAAATATCTCGGTTTCACTGGGCCTCGGACGTCCCTTTTCTTGAAGACGTCCTTTCAAGTTTTTAAGAGCGAGTCCCTGGGGAAGAGGGAGGCGATGTTTCAAGATGTGTTCTCTCTCCTGCCGGGATTTCTAAGACAGAGCCATGTTCCTGTCAATGTCAGCGCATTACCTAATAATCTGTCCCTTTGTAGTCAGCGGAGGATGAACTTCACGGGAGCACGTGTGTGGGAGGAAGCGGGCGGGGCGTGTGCGTGTGCATGCGTGTGTGTGTGTGTGTGTGTGTGTGTGTGTGTGTGGATGCTGGAGCAGCAGCATGACTAGAGGCCAAAGACAACACCAAAGGATTTTGAAATTCGGAAAGGAAGTCTAGCGCCCTGACACAAGCTGCTAGCATACTTGGGGCGGGGGAGGCTAGCACACAATAAGTAAAAGGAAGTGCAGAAGGTGCCGTGGGAGAAAGTCATTCCTGCGTGGCCAGCAGAAAGGAGAGTACTGCACTAGCAAGCAGGGGGCAGCCTGCTCCATTCTACAGACCCGAGTAAGATGGCGGCTGGATGTGATTTAGTTCGGGGCACCTCGCTAATAAAAAAAGAATTCTGAATGGAAAGAGAGAACTACTACAGGGTGAAAGAGACCTTGAAGCGAAGGTTGTGCACGGAAGGAAATCCTGCGACGTGACGGCACAGTGCATCATGGGGAGGGGGCCAGAGAAGGACCGCAGGGAGGCTAGGATAAAATGGTGGGACCGGGGATCCCACAGCCAGGAGACACATGATCTCAGGTCTCCAGGACAAGGGAGTGTCTACAAGTGCCCGTTCTCGCTGTTGCTCCCCAGAGTACACACCCACTGTGCGATGGGGTCAGACAAGATCAAGAGAGCAGCTACCTGGAAACACCTGGGAAGAGACGAGCCTTCCCAGGCCTGCAAGGGACAGACATTATCCTGGCCCCTGCTAATAGCACATCCCTGAACTGCTCACCATGGCAGGGGACACTTTTCATAGAGACGGGAAATATCAGCTATCCCAGCGGGAGAAAAGCCCTAAACGGAGGTCTGTGTGTCCTGTTATTGGGGACAGCCAAGGAGCCATGGGACGATCCCAATGGAGCTGAGGAGCCTGGGGCTTTGCGGGGGCTTAGTGGGATGGCTCCAAGAGGAAATGAAGCTGACGGAGAGAACTGAGCACGGAGCGCTTGGAGATTAGGAAATGCCTGCTCCGGCAGCGCTGGGTAAGCCATGAATTAATCATGACTACCTGGAAAAGCAGGGAAAACAAAAAGTTGTACAAGAAGGTAAATGAAATTATAAAACTCTACAAGGCTCAGCTGTGATTAATATTTATAGAGTTATAATAATGAAAATACTGAATATTAATATCACCCCCAATTATTATTTCATCCTAATAGAAGGGCGAGGGAGGAGAGGAGGGGGCCCATAGGGGGATGGGAGCACAATGAGAAGGACCTGGGGTGAGGGGTGGCGTCCGTTGGTCTATGTGTACAAAGTGGCATCCACCTGTGGAAGTGTAAGCACACATGGGGGGAATGTGAGGTGCGCTGTCCATCTGTGGTATATCAAGGTGGGGGGCAGGGATACATATAGGGAGAGTCTGTTGTTGTTTCCGGGGTATGTGCGAATACAGCACGTGTGTTGTGACTGTGTTTGAGTGCATGTGTTGTATGTTAGCAGCATGTGCGTGAGTGCGTATGGGCAAAAGTGGGTCCGGTATCCACCTGTTGGGGGCTGAGGGGCGCTCGTCTGCGTGAGGTCTGGGTAAGTTTTGTGTGCAGATGCACGGGTGGGCAGGCAGGAACGGGGTGGGAGATGCAGAGCAACGCACTGGGGAGTCTTGCAGCTCAGAATGCCAGGCAGTGTTCAAAATTCAAAATTCATCAAGAAATAGTAGGAGCATGCTGAGAAATAGAGATACGTAAAAAAGATCAACATCTAAAAGTTGAACCACTCTCCCAGTCTGGTGAATGGGGTGGGGGAAGGGTGTGGTATTTTTCCCCCTAAAGTTTATGTAATAACTTTCCACTTCTGAAAACTATTCAAATGCCTACTTGATTTACAGAATCAAAATCTACACTCAACAAAATCTGAATGGCTGGGAAGCTGCTGCAGGAGATGAGGGATTAGCAGCCTAAAAGCTCACATGTGGTCACTTCATCATAGGAAACAAAGAACAAAAACAAACAGACAAAACAACAACAACTCTACAAAACACTGAGTCCAAGAGGTGGTACCACTGAGACATCCAAGAAACTGCTGGAATATATGTGGCCAGGCCAGCGGGCTGAGTGAGGAGCAGAGGCATCCTGAGGAGCAAAGCACAAAGCACCGAGAACCATTGACATGCATCGACAAGGGTCAAGAGAAGCATCTTCCTCTTCTCGCCTAGAGAGAAACATCCTGGAAGTCAAAGAAAGGGAGCTTCCCGAGGGAGTGGGCAACACTTCAAACTCCACAGAAAAGAAGAGGAACCCCAGAAGGCCCTGGGCTCCCCACACAGGCTGGTTTAGTAACAAGAGTGAACAGGTGATAACATGTTGGGAACACACTAGAGATAAGCTACAAAGATTTTTTGTTGTTGTTGTTTCAAAACTCATTAGGATTTCATTAGAGAGTAGGACTGAGAGAGGCTCCATTTGACCGGTTTCTTCCTTTGCTTCTGAGACAGGGTCTCACCGTGTAGCCAAGGATGGCCTAGAACTTGTGAAGTTGCTGCCTCAGCCTCCCAGGTGCCGGGGTTACAAGCCTGTACCACCAGGCTTGCCTTGTTTGACTGTTTGAAAAGAAGCACGTGACTATCTTGTACTACCTACCACGTTAAGAGACAGGAGAGGACCTGTTAGGAATGAAAGTTACGTGGGAGAAGGAAAGAGAGACAAGAGTCTCCAGAGATGAGATGGCGGGAAGCCGAGAAACACAGCAAACTGCACAGGGCCACAATCTACAAGTAGCAATAAGCCCCGAGGCCTGGACCAGCAGGACAATATGAGTCATGTTCAAATACAGCCGTAACGGGTGCTGGTTTTAATGTTCTCGGCAGCTCAGTTCTGAAGCCCTGACTTAGGGGCCACGACGCTAGTCCTAGTACTTGGCAAGGCCAGTGTGCAGCAGTAACAGAATCCGGAATGATTCTGAGAGGAACTCAGGGGTTGGTGAGGAAGACTTGCCGTGGGACTGCTGCTGGACAAGACGTCTATGACTTCCCTGTGGTATGAACACAGGCCTAGCGAAAGGCAGTCCTTGATGAAAAAAAACACCAACCCATATTCCTCCCACCCAAAACACAACAGTAGGCTGAGGCACCGACGCCAGACACAGGAGCAGCCATGCTGGGGAGGCTCTCGCAGAAGCTCACCAAGTCCTCCCTCCCCTGTACACTGCCGCGTCTCACCTGGGTCAGTGGAGGGGCACCTGCGGATGGTGAAGATCTGGCCCAGGTCTTCGTCCTCCTCCGGAAGGCCCTTCTGCAGCCGCTGCAGCTTGCGCAGACTCTCGCTGCGCTGATGCTTCATGGAGCGCACGTGCTGGATGAGGTTGAGCTTGGCCTTGGTGGAGTAGTTGCACAGGACGCAGTGGTAATAGCAGCTCTCCCCCTCCACGCCGCTCTCGTGCTGCTGCAGGTGCTGCGGGGACAGAGGAGAGCAACACTCAAGGCACCTGGAGGCACAAGCCACTCCTGTACTGGCCACAGTGAGACAGGTGTGTCAGCTAGGGGCCATGGTAGGTCAGGTTAGCCGATGCTAGGCTCCTTGCACCGGCTGTTTTCAGTCCCCCCCCCCCCCCCCCCCCCCCCCCCCCCCCCCCCCCCCTCCCCTCCCCCCCCCCCAGCGCGCCCCCCCCCCCCCCCCCCCCCACCCCCCCCCCCCCGCGTCCTCGTCTCTGGAAGCGCTTCGAGGGTTAAATGACATGCTGAGGTATGTATACCTGTCTCTCCCACGTGGCCGGCCCCTCCCGGGGTAACTTTCCATGATGAGCCCTGCTAATGGTGCTCATCCACTTTTCTCAGCTGCACGCAATTATAAAAGGTTCGCCCTTTCACACTGCAGCGTGCACTGCTTCGTTCAGAGCAGAGGTGGGCAAACTGCGGCCTGAGAGCAAATCTGACCCGCTGTCTGTTCTCATCAGTAAAGTTTTATTAGTGCACTGCTAGGGCCACTGACAGACTACAATCTCTAGACCTTTTTTGAAGCCTCAGAGTTGAACAATAGTGACACAGATGAATGACCTGCAAAGACTAAAATATTATGATCTGGACCTTTACAGACAAAGCCTCCTCCTCCACGCCCCGCCCAACCTCCCTGCTTTTAGGACAGCTCGTGGTCAATCTGACAGCAAAGTTCCCTCCATCACTCATACAGAAACAAAGTACAGGTCTGGGCAGTTCCCTAATAAAAACAATTGTGGGATTTTTGTTGTTGTTGTTTTTTTTTTTTGTTGTTGTTGATGTTGTTGTTTTTGTTTTTGGGTTCTTTTTTGTATCTAAAATGACGGAGCTAAGAATGCAGCCCAGTTGGTAGATGGGTGCTTGCCCAGCATGTATGAAACTGTGAGATCAGAATTTAAAAGTGCAAAGGAGGTAGGGGTAGGGAGGGTCAGAAGTTCAAGGTCAACCTTGGCTACATAGTGGGCAAAGTAGGCTACATAAGGTTATCTGAAAAAAAAATTAATTAAAATTTTTCTAGCTGGGCATGGTGGTACATACCTATAATCCTAGCACCTGGTGGTTGAAAAACAGGACGATCATTAGTTCAAGGCCCGCCTAGTCTAAATAGTAAGCTCAGGTCTCAAAACTAAAACAAAACCAAGGTCATCTAGTTCATCACTGGTCAGTTGCACTGGTCCCAATGATGCTTTGTTTGACAGATACCACATCAATTCCAGAACATGGAAGCCCAAGAGCCAACAGAAAGCAGAACACAGGCAGCTTAAAGCGTGGGCAAAAGAACAGCAGGTGCCAGAGAAACAGTTCACAGAGGCCAGACTTCTGCGCCTGTGTGACTTAAAGGTCACCCAAGAGCAAAAGTCACCAAGTTCTTGACCTCTTGTGAGAAACGGATGGCTATTAACAGGGATTTGATTTGCTCTTTGCATAAAAAAAAAGACATCTCTCATAGTCCAAAGGACTATTCTGACAGTCCCCGTTCACTGTACATGAAGCTGGGCAAACAGTCCAGAGAGCTTAAGTGGCTGACCCAAGTAACTCACAGGCAAAGAAACCGCTAGAGCCCATCTTGTCCCCTCTCCACTGTACAGCCAGCATCACCGGGGATGAAGGAGTAGAGGTGATTTGAAGGCCTCACATGCTCATGTGACTGGGGGCCCTTCCTCTTGCTCCGCCTTCCCACCTTCAACTCTGGTCACCAGGGCCTGGCCGGAGGAGCTTGAACAAACACACAGCAAATGTCTTGGGATGGTTCTGTGGCAAAAGTCTGCCTCCTGACTCCAGAGGGCTTGTGCAACGCCCATGCCTTGACAGTGGTTTCTGATCTTGTAGGGACGGGAAGGGACACCTTCTTGTCCAGCTAGTAAGGCAAGGCACAGCAAAGCCAGAGCCCTCAGAACACCATGTGCTTCCTGAGACTGCAAATGACAGAGCGCGAGCACACCCTATCTGATGACACCGTCCTAGCGCTCACGTGGTCACACGTGCACATCTTACGTCCACCGAAAGGATGAGGGAAATCCAAAAGGTTTGCACATAACCAGATGGAGAAATAGGAATATACCAATGAGGTACTATGGCAAATTCACTCGAGAGGCTGGTGGCCCTCCACCACGAGAACTAACTGAGGCTCTGCAAAGAACCCGTGCCAACCTGCAGGAGCAAATGCAGAGGGCTTCACGGGCACCAAGTTGAGAACAGGTCCACGGTTTGACCCCCATCCCATTCTCAAAAAAAAAAAAAAAAAAAAAAAGGGAAAGTCAACCCTTTCCAATGCAGCACTTGGAACAAAATGCAGCCCCTGCAAGTAACAGCTGCCCAGAGCAACTCCACAGCCAGGAGCCAGGAGAACCTGCATGAGAAGCACAGAAGTACAACTAATAAAAATCTTCTGCAGATAAATTGTGTGGGTTTTTTTCCGCATTGTTTATCTTCAGGGTATACAACAAGACAATGTCTAGTGGGGTCCACACCCCCAAGGAGGAGGAAGATCTGGAGAGGTCATTCTCTCCAATTTCTTCTCTGGGCCTTGCAAAAGCTAAATCTCCCAGGGGGATGGATCTTCCCGGGAATGGGGTGTGGCCTGGGAGTGGGAGCTGGGGACACAGAAACTGCTCCCCTGGGTCAGAGACTAACCAAATAATACTTGTTAAAGAGACCATTAAAACTGAGGGACTAAAAGCTAAGAGAGAAAACGGCCAGGGCCCAGAGTGTCCCATTCCATAAGAGGTATTGATGGCATCACCAACTAGCAAGATCTGTAAAAGTCCCAACTCCTAAACCCGCATGGTTTCCCCCATGGAAGAGGACTTCCTTCCAGGAATGCATTGAGTTTGAAGCAAAGCACCTGAACATAGAGGTGAGGGTGCTATTCCAGATGGCTGGGGCTTCTAGTCTCTGAGCCAGAAGAGAAGACTAAGACCTAGGAAGAGTTGGACAGGAACTGAGATGTCGAACTGTCTTTTGTTCTCCAATCTGGGGGCTCTTGGATGGCCAGGCCACATAAATTCTGCACTGAGATAAACATCACGCTGGGAGTTCTTGCTTTTAAAAAGTGGGGGGGGGGGGCGGGGGGGATAAATTTTAAAACCATCCTGCTCACAAGATAGCCGTGGTAAGGTGCAACCTGCAGAACTGCCACCAATTCTTTTGTCGGCCATTGGAGAGCCATTCTGGAAAGGAAACGGCCACCCATCACAAATCATAGAGGAAAGAATAAAAGGAAACAAGAAGACCTGAGCCACAGTCCCCTCTACTAATAATAGTACAGGGCGCAAGCAAGTGAGCATAAGGGTGGACACACGCATGCGCGCACACACACACACACTCACACACACACACACACACACTCACATTCTCATTCTACTTCCAAATGTCCACTTTCCCATGTACAACATGGGGTTCCTGGCGCTTACCTGCATGTGACAACCCTGTCCTTATTCCTTGTTACTGGAGTCAACAAGGACCCAAGGCCTGTAGCAGACTCTTGATTTCTGCCTGAGCGCTAAACACCTCCAGTAACTGCCTGGCCGTGAGTGTGTCAACCCCCTTGGCCCAGCTGTTCAGATTCCTGCTTCCTCACAGGGGGGCACTGCCTCTCGCCAGAGTCCCACCCTGGGAACCTGCCTAATGCCAGACGGCAGGAGCGGGTGGGGCCGGCGGAGACAGAAGAGGACTCCGCGGGGCAAGTCAGGCCGCCAAGGACATGCCTTCCCAGCAGAAGAGCAGAGATGTTTTCATTTGGAGAAGGAGGGAGAATAATTTGTTCCTGACCCAGCTAATTAGAATACCCTCAATTGGGATCACAATGTATTTAATTAAATTCACTGTAATATATGAGGAATCCACCAAGGCACAAATCCCACTGGTGCACTCAGTAACAGAGCAGCTACCTCTTTCAGCCTCCTTGCTCTCCTAGCCAGGCAGGAAATTTCTCTCCCACGCCAATCCTGAATTCCCCGACGGACGCTTCGTCTCTATCACGGAGTTCTCCCAATGGGGAGGAGGAACCCAAGTTCTGTTGTACTTCTTTCCATTCCCCTGCCTCCGTGTTCATCGTCCCTCCGTGCCCTTCTCTGTCAGGGCACAAGTACGGTGTGCACAAAACAAAGCCTCAGCTTCGGCGGTGGTGAGTGCGGTGCCTGGCCCCCTGGGACTCACAGAAAGACGGCTGTGGAGCCCAGTTGTTGGGGTTTGTTTGGGGTTTGAGTAACCCCAAGTATCTACAACACATGAGCCTACACAGGCAGAAACACAGTGCACCACACCAGGGCCTTCACAACCGAGAATTCAGGCGACGACAGCAATGATGCAGAGGCTATGACAGGTGCCAGGGGACAGGATCCCGTCAAGTCTAATGTCACTGTATGACTATGCCACCCAGACTCTGAAGTCCAGCACATCCCAGAGAAACAGCACAGACAGCAAAGGGCTACTAAAGAAGGGTGACCAACGAGAAAATAAAAAACAACAACAACAATAAAAATAATAATTATAATAATAGTCACACAGCTAAATGGCAAACAGTGGAACCCAGGTCTATCCAAACTTTCTGGGCCTAGTCGTCCTCTGTCTGCAGCTCTGAATGCCAGGAAGGTGGTCCTTTTGTTCTCCAAGCCCAAGCCCTGTTTGTTAGGAAACTGTCTACAGGAGCTACCATGAGACCAAACCCCTGTCCTATCAATGGGTGAAAGGGTGGGTGGGTAGACGGACGAATGTTAACCCAAAGAAATGAATGATGGACGGGTAGGTGGGAGGACGGACGGCAAACTACATGGGTGAATGCAAAGGACTGGCAGGGAGGCTTACAGCGGAAGACTTCTACGAGGGAAGAGGTTACCCAGCTTGACCCATACTCAGAAGCAGAAAAGGTCTCTATCTCTGAGGTCTCTAAATGACCACCGAGCAGCAATGGAAGACCAGCTATGGAAGACCAGCTGGCCATCACGGCGAGCCACCGGG